TATTAGATATTTAATTAGAAAAAGTAATATTTAGAACATTTAATTAATAAACAAAATAATAGCATTAAATGATAAATAATGTGAATTACAAATATTGAAAGAATAATTGAATGAAATAATAGGTTGTCTTTAATATTGACGAGAGTTATATGGTTTGTGATTGCGGACCGAAGAGTGGACAGTGGATGGACTCGATTGGACTGTCATTCTCTGATTATTGCTGTGCGATGAGAGAGACGACAGACTAGTAGTGTAACCTCTATTGCGGGTGACAGTCATCGGCGGCATTGGTCCCAATTGGAAGTCATTGAGACCCACACCAAGCCGTGTGCGCTCAACACCACCAACTCTAGACATTGAATGTGGAGCTGTCTTAACCGGCGGTGTGTTTCTGTAGACATGTCTTTGTATGACTTTGTTTGTAATAAGCGGTGGATATGACTGTTTCGGTGGATTAATGGGTTGGTTTCGCACTGAAATTTTTGCCTTCCGGAGCGACTGAATTGGACTTAACGGAGGGTTTGATAAGACATTGTTTGCCATTTTGGGGACTTTACTGACGGCGAATGACTGTCGAGGGCCGGCATCGGCTCCGTATGCCATCGCAGAACCGTTGGCTAAATCGACGGTTTGGTTGACTGGTGTGGAAGTATTGCAATCCATTTGAGCCATCGTTTCGCTGCTATACGTATGACTGGTCTGTTTGTGTGTGTCTCGTTTGAAGAGATCAACGACAATACTGCCACCGCTTCCATCCATTGGTGATTGGGTCGCATCAGCGCTGAAGAGCGAACTGTGGGAACGGCTGGTCGGGGCGGCGATCGGTCGACCAGTGCTGTACCGACCGTTGGCCACATCGGTCTCCATTTGTGTCAACTTATTCTTCAGACTCTTCGCCTCATTCTCCAGATTCTGGTTTTTCAGCTTAAATTGATTGCACTCTTCGGCGACTTTGTTGTTCCGGGCGAGCAATGCGTCGACCAAACGCTTCCTCTGCTTCTTCTGAAACTTCTCCACTTTAATCATTCGCTTGTTGTTTGCGGTGACGTCTTGGAAGTAGCACTTGATATCGCCGCTCATCTTATTGGACAACTCGACGGTACGGCACACGGGTTGCGGACAACGGGAACAGTTCTGAGCCCTTGTCTTCACGCAGAGGTCGCAGTAAATGTTCTCGCATTCAGTCAAGAAATACTTCACCGATTGGTCGCCACTCGCGGGCCGTCGCAGACAGTGATTGCAGTGAACCGAGTCTGCCATCAGTGGGTCGTCATCGGCGGTGTGAGGGCTGGTAGTAGTGGTGCGACGAGTGGTGCAAACAGTGGTGCAGTGGTTGTGACAATCGGTGTCGACAGTCGGCGTCAATAACTCAATAATTTTCATATTTTTGATCACATTTTCAATCGATGGATGTCTTTGTCGTTAAAGCAGTGATTGTATGACTCATACGACTCAACCCTCGCTTACGACGCACTCGACAGCCAATGAGAGCGCAGAGACTGACGATCGGCTAAATT